CTCGCCCTGAACCCGGCTCCCCCCGTCCTGAGCCCGGCTCCCCGCGCCCTAAGCCCGGCTCCCCTCGCCCTGAGCCCGGCTCCCCCCCGCCCTAAGCCCGGCTCCCCCTCGCCCTAAGCCTGGCTCAGGCGAGCGCAAGGTCCCGGCGCAGCCCCGGCGAACGCTGCCTGAGCCCGGGTGTAAACGGGCCAGGCGCCAGGTCTGTGACGCCCCAAATGAACTATTCCCCTGTACCCGACTCTCGCCCCAATTCCTGACTTTATGGTAAGATAAAAAAGGATGCATTTTTCCTTTATTTTCAAATACACGGCTTAAAATATCTGCACCCTGGAGAAAAAATGGGAGTTAGTAGACATTATCTTGCTTTGCATATTCATTGGCCAGAGGGATAAGGACTAGCTCAATATTAGCTACCTCCTCCTTCATCTTTCATTCAACACCAAAATACCAGCCAAGACACTTTCCGCTTCCCCCTCAACCCCCCATTTTCCCCATCTTTTGGTCAAACAAATTCAGTCAGAAGCTTTCAGGCGAGCCCCTGGAACTCCTGTAGACAAACAGCTAAGCTCTCCCCACCAGACACCCCCAAAGAAGAATGGGGCAGCTGCAGGGCGCCCAGCCACGAACTCTTGCCTTGACACGGGAGCCCCAGAGCCGTCGGTGCCCACGCCGGGACGTGACGGGGTCCTGGTTAACGTGCCCTGCTCAGCAGGAGCTCAAGGGCTGCTCCACGCTGGGTTATTTAAAGCAACTCGAGCAGCATCTCGGTTGCACGTTGCTCTCTGGAGAGCTCTCAGGAACTATAATAAATAGCCACAACTTGACTCATTCCTCATAAAAGTTCTCTCCTAAAGCGGCTTTTCAGAAGACTCATCTCTCCGGTATTTTTTGGGTGCTACCAGCTTCCAGCCTGCAGTCACCTTCCCTGTAACCTGTCCCAGAACAATATCCCTTTCCTTTACAAACTGTTCCCCCTTCCTCTTTTTTTTTTTTTTTACTTATATGAAGTATGACAGCTACATCAAATGTTTTGTTGCCTTGGCAACTGCAATCCACTGGCTTCAGACTGAATTCTAGGGAAGAAGACGGTCTTGACACTAACAAACAATAATGAGAACAGCAAAAACCAGTGGGCAAAACAGTGTCCGAGGCAGGCGGGAGGGCTGCGGAGGGACAAACCCCCCACAGCACAGAGCACATTTACATTTGCTTCACCCGGAGCCGAGGGGCTGCCTGACCCAGCCCTGCTCTGGGACAAAGCGGCAGTGAAACTCGGCAGAAGTGCCAGGTCTGGATTTCAAAATTAATTTCCGCTATATGGAAGAGGCAATCACTTGTAGAAAGCTACAAACCCCTAAATGCAGCCCTGAGAAAACGTGCTGTCCCTGCTGCCCTCACACCCCCTGCGCTGGAGAGAGGCTGAGCTGGGGACACTCCTGCCTTCAGCCACTCCTACGCTGGCCACCACACCACGCAGCAGAGTAACTTCACAACGTCTTTGCTTACAGCACTAGAAATGAAGATTTCTCTGTCCCTGCACTATTTCTGTGGTCAGGAGCACAAGCTGTATGAACCGCTTCACTTTCCTGAAGTCTTTTGCTACCTGCTGTTACCACAAGTGCCGGACCTGTGCAAACACCGTGCACAAGGTCACCTCTGTGTACGTGGCAAAGAGAAGAACTGCGGCCACGAGACCCCCCCCGACTCATTCTGGGGCTGCTCCTCTGGGTCCAGCCCGTTATGGGTGCAGATGGCTGTTACAGACCCCTCAGGCTGTGGGGGGAGAACTGATTCAGGACAAAAGACAGGGATAACTCATTCCCTCAGTCCTGTGTAGAGGACAATGAAGCTTCGAAAGCAGCTTTAAACAAGGACAGTAAAATCTGGTTACATACTAATTGCAGGGTGGGAAGAGCTTTTGTTGTGCACAAACCCAAGCTGCCAATCCATTGTCTCCCATGATCCTGCACTTTCCTATAGGCCTGGAGAGATCTGTGCTGTGCTTGGATACTTAGCCTCAAAGAAAATTGTGTAAGAATGAACAATGGATGGAGGAAATAGAATAATCAGAGCAATTTCCCATAGAAATTGGTCAGACTAACGTTCCTAATTGGCACTCCATTACAACATTTGTACCATACTTTCTTTTGAATTTATTACTTTGTTTCCTCTTGCACTGAATGCCCATGAAAATCTCTTGGGACCAGATTTAAGTCATTATGAATAAATGATAAGAAACTAAATTTAGAAAGTCTGATAAGAATACTAATTTGCAGAAGAGGAAGGTCCTTAAAAAATAGTGGGAGTCCTGCAGGTCCCTGCGCCACTCTGGTGTTCCCTGCAGAGGCTGCCTTGATCCTCACCGAGATGAGAGAGAAATGGGCCCTCCTCTCCATAATTCGTGTGTTTTCAGAGCTATGGGAGAGGCTGCGACTCCCGCCGAGCCTGGACACTAACCAAGGGCAGCGCCATTTGCCTGGCTGCTCCCCTGTGAGATGGGCCGGGACCCGCCGCTCCCGGACCCCCACCACGGCACGGCATCGCCAGCGTCCCCATCCCACGGCCTGGCCTCCTGCCCTGCACGCTCAGCCGGGACTGGGGCTCTTCTCCCCGATGGGCAGCAGTGAACAAACGGGAGTTATTGCCCTTTGCTCCCGGGCTCTGCACTGAACACACTCCCCGTTAGCTACAGAACAAGGGAGGAAGCAGGAGCTCCCCAGCCTTTGCAATCTCTGCCAGAGTAAGCCGGAAGAAAACATTTGGGAAAGCCTTGGATGCAGGAGGAACTATCGTACTGCAGAACTGCCTAAGTGTGGAGATGACACTGCTAATTGCAGCTGACTGAAGAAAAGCAGAAGGTGGGGTATGAGGATGAGGCACCCTCCAGACACGGAAAAGAAATCGTGCATGGTTTCTGCACATCTCCATTTCCCATCCATGAGCCCGCTCTGAGTTGAAATGAACTCCTTTATCCTTTGCAATAATACCAGCAGCAACAGCAACAACAATACGAACGGTATCAGAAGGACTGGCAGGGGAAGGGTAAATTACAGCCCAGTGCCCAGGCAGCACATCACAGCTGCTCCCATTCCAGGTTTCCGACAGGAAGAGCTGTCATCCCCGTTTTCCAGCAGCAGGAATTTGGGTACAAACACCAACCCTGTCACTCCACCACATAACCTGGTGGAGCCGGGACACACCGTCACTGTGACGGGTTAAAAGAGAAAGGGAGATGGAGGCAGCAAAGGATTTAGGGGAGGTCCCGGATTGCTCTGGCACAGCCCAAAGCCACATCTGAGCCCAGCCCTCTTCTCCACACAGCTCCTGACGGGTCGGTGATGTGCTGGTCACCGCGGCCACCCGGCACCTGCCTCTCCTCCCACTTCACCACCCGTTGCAAGGATGGGGGGGGTGGGGGGAGAACTCCACCTCATCAGAGTCTGATGCCACCAGTTCCTTCCACTAATTGAGATCCTGAACGTGGCTGCACCCCCGGGCCCAGGAGGGGCAGAGTTTGGAAGGGATTCAAACTGGGGAGAAGTAATGTGAATAATATCGGGAATCTTTGAAGTTCTCACACCAGGTAGGGATGCTCAGCGATTATCCTTTGGTAGCTTAAGCAAAGCACCAGGACTTACTGCTTGTTCCGACGACCCTGCTGTGTCTTTCAGGTGCCCGCTGAGCCACCTGACATACTGCAGTAACCAACGACACCTTTTACATCCCTCTGCTAATCTGGGCGGTCCTGAGTGCTTCAGCCTGAGACTGTTCCCAAAGCTCACATGCAAGTGTATTAAGAGAGATTAGTTCATTAATCTACTCTCTGGTACCATCTATCTTTATGAGTTCGTTTTAATAATTTGTACTAATTGACAGAGCAGACTCCCTCCAATTCTCAAAGTTGGGTAATACATAATTGCTCTAAATCACAGCATAAACATTTTCACTTGGAAACTCCTAATCCCATTACACTCCCAGTGTCTCTTCCGAGGTTTTACAGATGAGAGAACCTGCAAACTCAGTATCATTACGCACAAACGCTTGTGGCATCAGGACCAGACATCATTAACATCCTGGGCCACTGCTGCCCATGATCTGCCCCAAAGCAGCAGGCACTGCTCAGTCTGAGGAGAGAGCGGGCAGGTATTTGGGTTCCCCAGCATCCTCTGACATATTTCAGTGGGGAGGGACAGCAAACCCATCACTGGGCTGAGGACACGGGGAGGAGACAAGGAGCTGTAGACACACAGGGTGCCGTCAGGAGCAGGAGGAGGGAGCGCTCCTGCCCCACACCCCGCGAGGGACAAGCTGAGGATGAGGGGACATGCAAAACGACAGCCGGGGGGGGGCCGAGAGGGGAGTATGGGAGGGCCTGCAGGAAGGTGTTCAGGAAACCTGGACACCCCCTGACACACTGCCCCTCTCCAGGCAGGAGCCCCCATCCCTGGGACGGCCGCAGGCCTGGGACGACCCCCAACAGTGAAGCGCAGCAGGGGCCTGGGAAGCGCAAGGAGCTGTGAGCGGGTGTCCCCAGGCACGCTGCGACGGGCACAGCAGCGACAGCAAACAGCAAACAGCGCTGCCCGCGGCGGGACCCAGGGAGCCCCACGGGCTGGGCCCCGCGCGCCCCAGGCCGGAGGAGCCAGAGGCAGCGTGTGCGCAGACACCCGGAGCCCTCGAGGGTCACGGCCGCGGAAGCATTACTGCCCGAGGGCTCCTGGGCGCAGGCAGGGACACACAGGAGGCTGCCGGGGAACGCGCGGAGGTACCCACTTGGTCTGATGTTTGGAGCCCTTCAGGTGCGCGTGGTACTGCTCTATCGAGTTCAGGGTGACGTTGCAGATGTTGCACGTGTAGCTGCGCTTCAGGCCTGCGAAGAGAACCCAGAGTCACCAACTGTGCGGTTAAACCTGCGCTGCCCGCGGGCTGCGGCGGGGAAACACCCTCGTGCCCCGGCTACAGACTATTCACCGTCAAAATGAAAGTACAAATGAGTGAAAATGGCTGTAGAACTGGGGGATGGGGGGGCAAAGCAAGCATTAGCCCTTGCCCCAAAAGACTTTTAATTAATTAGATGGTACTCAGATCTCAAATTGAATTTCCAGTTTCCCAGACATTTCTCTTTAGAGTAACCCGTCTATTGACTTTTCCAGGGCAGGGTATCCAAGCACTAGTGAAGCCTAAAGGAATATTTTTGAGAGGCACAGCCCGGGCAGAATGAGGCAGAGTCCAAAGGTGAATCCCCCCGAGACCCTGGTCCCCGCAGCTCATCACCCCCCTCCCACAAACTTCCCACAAAGCGTCGGGCTAATGAGTGCACGAGGCCCCTTCTACTCCTCTGGGTTTTGGGAGCGATCACAATTCAGGGCAATTCCTCGTCAGTGTATTTAGAAGCCAGATCACTTAGGAACCTTTCTTCCCCCCCAAGGGGATCCACCGTGGTTTAGCCGCCGCGTTTGCCCAGCTCCGCCGGCGCTGGCTCGGCAGCCCCCCCCGGCCAAGGCTGGGTCCTGGTGCAGGTGCCCAGTGGCCCTCCCAAAGCTGGCAGCCAGGAGCTCCTTCGCCTGACGGATTTAGTCTTGGCTGCAATACCTGTCTGCAGCCCTGACCGCAAAGCAGCCCTTGCTCTGCTAATTTTAGCCCGTCACAGACACAATAACAAACAAGGATTTATAAAGCTGCTGCCCTGCTGCCGGCCAGCCGAGTCCCACTGCGCTGGAAATAACATCTCAGTGGGCTCGTGCAGAAACCTTATGAACTTTTGTTGTTGTTTTTGTTTGGGGGGAGTTTTGTTTTGTTTGGGGTTTTTTAACCTTCTCACAAATCTCTTGGGGGTTTTTAACCTTCTCACAATCTCCTAGCTGCCTCTGCCACTTCCCCTTTCATCGTTCACTCAACTGCCACAGCTACAAGTGATCTCCAAGAGAATGCACTGCATTTCATTTTATTGCAATGTAAGCTGCAGAGAACATGATGTAAGCGCAGCTGGCGGAGGCAGGAGCAGGCAGGGAGGTGACTGCTGGGCTGCGGAGAGGCGCACGTGTCATGGGCAAGAGATGGGGACTTTGGGCCATCCCGCTCCCTGGGCCAAGGAGGAGCAAGAGCTGCGCCCTCAGGAGGGGCGCTGGACCCGGGGAAAGACAGAGGCACCGCGGGGAGCAGCACCCACGGCTCCCGCGCAGGGAAGGCGCTTGGTGCAAGCAGCAGCTCTCTCCTAACTCACTGCTCTGCCTCTGGGCACAGATTGCAGGGAAGAAAAAAACCAGGCAATTAAGCAGATTCATGCACATCTCAGACAGAAGCTGCAAAGTGATTTATAAGCAAAGTCACAGAAACAATCTCTTGGCACATTCACTGGAAAACATCCGAGCTGAAGAACTAAACCCAACAAAATCAGCCCGTGCTTCACTTACTCAGCTTAGATCAAACTTCATTTCTCTGAGACACCCACTGCAGACAACATTTGTTCACCTAAAAAGCGTGCATGCACAGCACATGAACAGGGGACGCTGCAGGATTATAATGGCAGAAGAGCCACCTCTGCCTGTACACAACTCAGAAAGGTCTCAAACCGTGTTCAACTAATTGTCATGGACGGTAAAATAAACAAGAGATGGAGATGATTTATGGATACAATCAAAATTGCTCATTACATTGCTACCAAAGTTCAGGTTTTTACTGACACTCAGACTGGGACAGTTATTGCAGCTTTTCCTCCAATACCCTCCTTCCCAATCCCTGGTATTTCAGACCTTCCAATAGAGTGAATTGCCCTGGGTGGGTCTCAGGGAAGGAGGAAGGTCAGGGCTAAGGAAGAATTCCAGAGTTACGGATGCAACCTCTGTACAAAGCAGCCTGAGAAAAACAGTTGCCTGAGATGCCCAGAGAGATACAAAACCGCTATTCTCGACACTATTTATTGTATTAAATAGGAAAATTATTTCTTCCTCATTTAACAGCTTGCATCTCAGAATTACAGTTTAATGACTTAAGGCTGAGAGTATTTTCATTCTCAACAGGACAAGGAAACAGAGACTTTGCCACCTCTGAAAAGCTGAAAATCTAAAAATAGGAACCCAGCAGACAGGCAGCAATCAGAGTAAGAGGTAAAGGAGAAAAGGTCTTTTCCCAAGGCAGCGTGCTGTCCAGTGGCTGCTGAAAATGGCTGATATTATTTTTGATTTGTGTCAGTTTAGGCTTCCTGGAAAAAATGCACAGTTTGGTCCATTTCCGAGGCATTTATTCTCAGTGCCCTGGTGCACCCCTCCCTCCCTCTGGAGGGGTATCAGCCTGCCTAGCACATGACATCAGGTAATTACTTACACACTCATACTCGTTTTGCCTTTCCAGTCAGGTTTTCACCCAAAACATTCCGCAATGACTCTTGCAATCACAGGAAGCCACAATGCTGCTGGGGAAGTTTTTCCACACCTGCAAAAGCTGATTTAATTCATTTCTTTCTCTTCTTTTTTTTTTTTTTTTTTTTTTTTTTTTTTTTTTACCTGGGCCAAGAGACGCATCACTACCTGGGTTCAAAATCTATTGTTTTGGGAGAACTGGGAAGCCTCTTTTAGGAACTACAGCAATAACAAAACCAGACACTGCAGAAGGGGACAGAGAGCAGCTGAACGTGCGTTAAGCTCCTGATTCCTTCTGGCATCCCTGAGAGCAACCTGGTATGCAGGGCAAAACCCGACGCGGATTAAGCATATAAATACAGACCTACGTGTTTCCAGGCCCTGATTCTGTTGTCTCCCTGACTATGCTGAGTGTCAGAGAGTAGTTTCTTCTCTCCTCCTCTCTTTTGTATTTTAACATCCTAATAACTCCCTTGGCATCACAGGCTACATTAGCATCACTGACATTGCACGTACATCGGCGTTACAGTAAACCATTGATGCTGAAGTCATTTCTGTCCTGTCCTGTCCTAGAAAAAAGGGAATTGCAAATTTTAGAGTCTCTGTGGTCGTGTTTCTGCTTTGCACTGATTCACTTCCATGAAGATCTGTGCAGACCATTTCAAGCCTAATTGAAGGGCTCAGTTTAGGAATACCCGAGCTGTGGGATTCCCAGCATGGGCTGCTGTGCTCTTCCAGAACAGTTCTAATGTACCATGTAATAGTCTCTCTTGACTTTCTATCGTATTATCTCTTTGCAGAAATTGTTAAAACAATTCATTTAGAACAAGGTATGGCATTCTCAAATCAGATCAGCTTATGCTTACCATAATTAACTGCTTAGGCTATATACACACTCACCACTCCCCACCTGTACCTACGGACTCCCAAAGAATCACTTGTCTTTTTTTGAACTGTTAGCTGTCCCACTTTTCTCCAACACCTCATACATCTCTCACCTAGGAATCTGGCCCAACATAAAGATGAACATCTTCTTTAAAAAAATATTTTAAAAATAATCATGTGGGTACTTGAAAATAGCAAGCAAGTGAGAATGCAGAAGTATTTAAATAGTCACCTGTATTTTTGTGTGGCATGACGCGGCGCGGAACAAAAATCAAACTGCAAATATGCTTATGGATGCTCTCCTTGCTGAACTGACTCTCGATGCAGCAGCACGGTTTTACAGTCAAACCCTCGGTCCATAGGTGGCAGCTCCCGTTTCCTTTATTAAGCCAAGAGGCATCAGACACCTGGTGCCACAGGGCAGGAGAGAGGATGGAGAAGGCAGTGCAGGCCGACACGGGCCGTGCATCAGCACCTCGCTGCGGACCGAGAAACTGGTAATACTTTAAATTAAGGTAATAAGGTTCTAATCCTCAGCCGCTAATTTAACAGCAACATTAACAGCAGCCTTACTGAATCTTAATTACTTGTGTAGGTGGAAATGCCATCAGCGATTACAGTTCCTAACTGGGGACACTGATTTTTTCCCACCAGCATGTCAAGGCTGGTGCTGCTGCTGAACAAGGGGGAATCCTGCCCCTCCTCCCCGTGCCCAGCACCGCGGCCGCGGCTCTTCCCCCGCCGGGGCCGGTTCTGTGAACTCGCCCGGGCTGGGCCGAACCACACACGGGTGCGTGGTGGGCGGGTGGAAATTTTGCCAAGCCCGTCTCCGCCAGTGTGAAAAACCAGGGGCTGGGCCAGGGGCTGGGCCAGCCAGCGGGGAAGGTGCCAGAAGCTGCCCAAGGCTCCCCGCCACCGCCCTGCTCCGCGGCAGCCGTGCTCGGGACCCCGCTCCTGCGGCAGCTCTCGGCCGCATCCAGCGTCCCGAGACTGGCTTGTGCAGGAAAAGTCTTGAGACTGACACAAACTCCACTGAAACGAGACAGGGAGAAAGGAAACTGCCTCAGCTGAACTGCAGGATGAAACCACACGCAACAGCCACCTCCAGAGTCCCAAAATTAACAGTATTTGATCTCACTGGAGCTCACCAAAGCTGCCAACTTGGCTGAAACTGTGGTTTGATGAAATGCACCCAACCACGACGTGTTGGAGCCGGGTATTAGCGCAGCAGGCAGTCTGCAAGAGGAAGGTGGTCTCAGCCAGCGCAGTCTGTGCTAGGAACTGCCGTGCTTCGTCTGCGTTCACGTCTACTCCTGCATCCTCACGACACATCAGCACTCCCTCCCCTGCATCATGGCATGCGTTCATGTAAAATTGAATGTGCTCCTACACCCATTAAATAAAATATTAACAAGTCAAGTCATTAATGTCATTCTGCATAAAATGCATTAAAAACACATTCCAGGGGAGTACTTGTTAAATCACTTTTTACTAACCAAAAGTGACAGCACAGACCTAAAAGTACTTATAAGTCATACAAAGAAATTATGATCTAGGAAGGAAAATGAAACTCAGCTCTTTTCTGACTTTGCAAGATAGCATCTGCAACTCTGACAATTTACCTGAAAATACAAAGGCTTCAGGTGACACCATCCCTGTGCAGCCATCCCAGTCCTGCCTCACTGCAGAGGCTGCTGTGTTTCATGTGAGGGATCCACCGTGTAACCCCCTGAGAGGCACCAGCGTCTCCTCCAGGGCCTGGGGATTTTCGTGTCACCAGGGACCAGGAGCCCCAAGAAGACGACCCACGTTCCTGCTGTTTACAGGATCCTGTCTAATCAGCTCCAGGCACACAAGGCTGGCCCAGAATCTGTCTCCACCATTACATAATATTCAAGTTTTACTGGCAAGCATCAAAGAGAGCCCAAGGTGCCTTGGTAAGTCATTTGCTGTCGTGCAAACCGGCGCTGACGCGGGTTACAAACACTGACGAGATGAGGGGGGGGTCTGTCTGTACGTCGAGCCTTCTGCTCATTTTGTTCATTCAAAGATGTACGGAACGACAGGGAAAGGGCACACTGAGCCCACGTAACGAAGCCCAGACTTTCAAACACTGCACCAGCCTTCAGAGAGCATTTTGCTGTGGGGCTTTGGCTCAGCACCAGCAATAAGCAGAGTCCGTTATTAATTAAATTCCCCGTGAATGAGATCTGCCAGTCTCTGCTGTGAGACCCCTGCCCCTGCGAGCCCACCTGCCTCAGGGGAGGCACAAAGAGCTCAGCGACGGGTAATGCCAGACATGAAGAAAAACTGGTGAAATGTGACCTGATGGAGCACAAACGCAATTCTCTTTCTGCCTGGCGCAGGCTGTGGGAAGGCGAGAGCTGCCAGACGGAGCCGCACCGGTGCCTCCAAGGGAGCAGCTTCTGCTCCGTGTTGATGAACAGGCACAAGCTGTCGGGGGGAGAGCCCAGAACTTGGGGTCCGTCACCATACCCGCCGGCTTGTGCCCCCTCCGGGACCGGCTGGGGTGCAGCAGCAGCCAGAGAAGGCAGCTCTGCAGGAGGAAAACTCTTCATTTCTTCCTCTTTCAGGGTATGTCCCCGTGCTCCCCCAAGGAGTCAGAGCAGAGGGGGCTCCAGGCCAGCCCTCGGCACCGGGCTCCTGGACCGGCTCCGCTGGCACGGCTGGAAAACTGCAGGAAGCTGCTCGGAGAGCCGGGCTGGCCGGGTGCGCATCGCCTGAACTCCGCCACGCACCCTCCGCTCGGCCCAGGCACGAGGCCGGTGAGACCCTGAACCCAGCACAGACTACAGGAACGGGGCTGATAGTGAGGTTTCCTTTTCCTTTTTTTTTTTTTCTCCTCCTCATTTCCGAGAAGAAAACAAGACTTCAAAATTGTAGGATGAGCGCTTGGCGAGAAGAATCAATGCTTTTGTTTCCTATAAATATCAGTTGTCCAAAAATTTATCTCTATTCTTATTTCTCTAAATACACATTAATATTTATCAATAAATATTTTATTATAGCCATTGTCAAAGCATCAAAGGCTGCTGAAATGTTGTACTTCAGCTGACACTGTTTGTTCCAGGCTCACACAACGCATCAAATGTTTGTCTCCCACGGCAGTCAAAATAGAATTAATATTTAAGTTGTGATGGGAGAAGCCACTGGGGATAGCCTGGAAAGAAAATGGGTTTGCATTCTGGCAAACAGCAGAAGCAGCGCCGAGCAGGAGAGCAGACGGCGACAATCCCTACCACGCGCTGCCGAACAAGATTCCGCTGACAACCTGGGACAGACCGCGGGGGAGCTCTGACCTGCCGCTGTTGTTTCTCCTGCAGTCAGACACGAGTTTATCTGCCAAGGCACGGCCACTTCCTTGGGCAGAAGGCGGGTCCCGTTCCATGTTGGCCACTGCACAGCTCTGCCTTCTGCACCCGTGGGGTCCTGCTCTGGCCTCACAGCTAAAGGCTTTCAGGAGAGCGCATCACACTCCCCAGTTAAAAGAACCGTAAGGAAGAGGATTCCCTGGCCATGCTGCTACCCTGCCGCAGAGGGAACCTCTGCAGGACCCTGTCAGCAGGTCAGGGACGTGTCCTTTGACTCACCACGTCTGGCTGAGAACTCAGACAGCACCGGACACCCCCGAGCTGGAGACCCCGAAACAGCAGCCTGGAAGTGTCCAGCCAGAGACCCGAAGCTGCCTCCCCCAGACCCGGGGTATAAACAGCCGCAGCACCACGCGATCGATGGACGGATCCCGCTGGGTGCAGCTGCAGATCCCAACCACGCACAGAAGCACCGCAAAGTCAAAAACCAACATGGGCTGATGAGTCTGTAAAGCCCTCCAATTTCAACTCTCCTCAGCACAAGCTAAATGAATAAAACACTCCACAATTGATTTATTTACAGTTAACGACATCCTCAGCCACTCTTGAGTTTGGCACAGTTCAAAGTACTAAGCACTTCCATGTTATTGTCCCAGGTTTTATTTCCCCGCATATTTCCAACAGCGGGCAGTGACTCAGCCACATGAATCATTTATGGCATTGTGAGTCACACTAGGTAGCACATGAAGGATCTGGATAACCATTACAAGGTTTATTTGAGATCAAGAAATGCACAATATACTGCATAATCGTTAGTATTTAAAGGAAAATTATTTCATTTAGCCAAGAAAAAAAAAAAAAAGGTATTTTTAAATGTTAACGCAACGTCTTGCTGGCAAACCAGACTTCCTCACCCGCATGGTTTTGGAAATCAAACCTGCACTTTTTCCTCAGCCCACTTCAGTTGAACACATTGTGTGTGTACAGGATTGTCATCAAGACCACAGAGAAAACTTTCAGCGGGAGTCTCTTACCTCTCCTCCCGTAATTACGCTCTCGCTATTAAAAAGGGCCTTTGCTCGGGATAAAGCAGCACATCTCCCTCAGCCGGGGAGCGGGTCCTCCCTCGGCACCCGCGGCCGGAGGCTCTGGGGACGCTGCGCCCACGGCTCCACGCGAGGGGGGTCCCTGCCGGAGGGTGCAGGGGCCAAGGCCGGGTGGCCCCGGGGTGCAGCCCTGCAGGGAGCCTGCGGAGGTGGGAGCACCCTCAGCCTGACCTCCCAGCGGGGCTGGGACGGACGGACGGACAGACGGCAGCTCGCTGCCAGTGGGAACACAGAAAACTTGTGTTTAACACACCCTCAGCAAATGCTCGGTTCCTTTTTTCTGCTGCTGACCCAGGGTCGCTGCAGTGTTTTACAAGCACTAATTAAATCACAGAAGACAGCCGATGCCTGCTCTCCTTCGGGGAGATGCAGGGAGCGCTCTGCCTCCAGCCCAAACACCCCGTCCCCCCTCCCCACGTGTTCCCCTCCCTCTGCTCACGGGGACAGGCCACGTCTGCTCAAGGACAGGCGTGTGCTAATGAAAGGGGCTATTTTAGGAAGAGGCAAAAGCAATACCCAGGAAGCAACTTTTAAAGGATGCTGCTAAAACTGTGCCCTGTCACTCAGAGGAGGGGATTTTTTTCACACCTGCGGGAACCTCATCAAGCAGCCGGAGCACCAGGGGCTGCCCCGCGCCGCGCGGCTGGAGGGAAGTGACCGCGACGGGCACCACGGGCACCGCGTCCCACGGCGTCCCCGCGCTCTCACCTCGCAGCTCTCCCAGGTCCAGGGTCTTCCCCAGCTGCTCCAGGAGGTCGGCCCTGGCCGCGTTCTTCTTGTGCTTTTTGCCATCGTAGTGCTGCTGTGCCATCATGGGGTTGTTGAACCAGGCTGCGCAGAGCTGGCAGTACCTGTCCGAGTCCCTGCGCTGAGGCGGTGACGGCACCACCGGCGGACTGTCCGCGTGCGGCTGCTTCAGGGAGCTCAGCGCCGTTTCTGGGAAAGGAAACATTCAGAAACACTCAGACATGAGCTCTTCCAGGCTGCTGCCGTCTCAGTAACAGCAGGCCCTGAGGCAGAACCCACATTAGACACGGGGAATAATTAGCAGCAGTTACCGGGTCCCACTGGATATTCTGGATGGCGCTGCCTGGAAATCTACCATTTCTCATTTAAAAAAAAGCAGCATGAAAGGAAGCACAGGACTGTTCCTCGACTCTCTGCCTTTCGCTAGCTGGGGAAGGAGGATGCTCTCATTGCAGTTACACGGCTTATCACTGCTGTGACTAAACCTGCTGAACTTATCCTGCTTAAATTGCTACTTCCAGAAAAAATTGCCAGTGGAGAATGAACAAAACATGCAAAACCATCGACTTCTCAAGATAGGGAGACAGATTTATCATTATCTCAGCATTCTTATTTTTCAATTTATTCAGTCTCGGAAAGAACAGGGAAAGCTGGAGCAACTGTAAATTGTCACAGATGAAAAAAAATATTCAATAATCAGTCCCCTCATTCAAATATCTTCGCATCGTGAATCGACAGGGACCAGCAAACCACGACCTTCATCTAATCCCCTTTCCCTTCAGATTCACCTTCAGTGATTAGTCTTTACATAATGGAGCTGCACCTTGTTTGCCACAGTCTGCCAACTCTGTACAATATAAATCACAAAGCCATGGAAAACCAGTTTGAAGTAAAATAAAGTTCAAATAACATTGAGATACAAAAATATACAATGACTAGAGCTTAATTATCACACCTCATTCAAAAATTCCCTTTCATGTGGTTCTTTTCTTTTCCAGATGAAATGTCTATCTAAATAATTAACAAACCGCTCCCTCTGTGATACAAGAATAGGCAAATTTTAAGGTGGTGAAGAGGAGCTCCATCGCTCTCCTTTGATCTGTGCTATTCCAGCTGAGCCCTGACAGGAGCACGACCCCACCTCAGTGTCTGCTCCCGGGAATGCAGCAGTGAGCAAATAGGGGCATATTTAGACGCATAATTACAACTGAACCCCACGGTGATTGACTCCACGGCCCAGGAAAGTTAATATTGTTATAAATCTTCTGCTGACCTGCTCGGGAAGGGACGTCTATTAAATTTCCTCAAGGAAATTGTATCTTACATATAACATTACTTACAACCTTATCAATTTCCAGGGGTTTATAAGCTTCTATTGTTTTTGATGACAGCTGCCAAGGTATAAGGGTTTCAGGGCCTGGGCGGCTGGTTGAGGCACCATCACCCTCCTCCCAGGCCGCCTCTGGAGAAACACCTGGAGAAGAGTTTGCTCCCTTCTGCTGCTGCCCCCAGCGCTCTGCACAGCACGAGTCCAAGGAGCTCTTTCGGGGATTAGTTAATACAGCGATTACACAACTGGCTCCCGCAGAAGATATTTCTTCTCCTCGTTCTGCTGTCTCGCGAGCCGCCCGCCCGCTCGTTTGGATTCATTTCACCCCACCAGAGGATTCCACCGCCTAGTCCCTGCCCGCCCTCCATTTAACCAGCCTAGTTAAAATCCAAGCACAACACCAGCAGAGAAAACCTTTTTTCCTTTGCCTTGGGCTCCTGATGCCCCTGGCAGCGTGCTGGGGTGATGCTCAGACACCTCCCGGCTCTGCCGAGGCACCCAAGGTCATCGTCAACCTGAAAAACTGCTGCCGAGGGAGCTGGCGGGCAGCAGGCAGGGCTCAGCAAGGAACCGGCTCTATTTTGCTCCTCAAACCAAAACCTTTTCCTACACCTACAGCTCCACCACGAGACGCACCCCCAGCCCCTCCGAGGCGCCCACAACACGAACAGAAGTGCAGGTACAAATTGCAGAGCCAGGGGCCAACGCACGGCGGCGAAGAAGAAAATTCGGCAATAACAGCACCGCCCGTCCCAGCCGGGATTGCGCGGCTTTGCCCACGTCGCTCACTAGCGCAGGCACGGCCCGTCCCTGGCTGCGGCCACGCGGCCCTCGCACGGATCCTCCCTGCGGCCGGGCCTGGCGCCAGGGGCTGCCCCGCGGACACGTGTGAGCACCCGGAGCGTCACACACCGCCCGTTCAGCCAGGAGCTCCCTGAGAGACCCCAGGTGCTGCTCTTGCAGGCCCCAAGCTATGACGTTAAATCTATCAGATCCTGCGGTTAGCCTTCTCCCTGCTGATGCGTCCTGAGCTGCTGCCAGCGGGGAACCAGTGAGGTCGAAGCTGCCAGAGCTGGTGGTGCCCGCAGGAGTTCCCTCTCCCGCTCACTAGAGGAACTCGACTGAAGCGTCGCCTCTGCTCAGCCATCAGCCACGCCGTGGCCCGTGTCCGAGGCCCTCCCCACGAGGCTGGTGCTCACCCAGGTGCCGTGCAGGGGGGCGGCTCCAGAGCCACTCCTGCTCCAGGGACTGAACCAGAGCCCCCCTCGAGCCCACGGGCTGCAGCCCCCACGGCAGGGACCCCGTTCCCGCATCACACGGGTGCTCCCACCTGGCAGGGATTTCCTCTCAGCACTCACAATACAAAACATCTTCTTGTAAAGCCACATTCCTCGGGTTCCATTTGCGACTACCCCCAGCCCTAAGACGTGCTGAACCCAGCCTGGCAGCTAACAAAAGCATCCCGTGTCTTCCAAATCCTCCCAAAGAGAAACAGATGAAAGATGACTTCTCCACAAATGTGGATTTATCATTTTGATATGTGCTACATAACAACAACAGAACAGAAAATATCGTCCCCTGAGCAGCAACACAAAAATTAATAATAAACACTCACAAAGCGTCAAATGTTAAAAATGTTTCTCCATCTAAAACACAAACACAAAAGCTGCTAGTTTGACTATTTCAAGTATTTCAAAATGCTAAATAGCTCATGACAGTCTGCCTTACATTCCCTTTTGCTGTGGGAGGGAAGTGAGAAAGTCTTACTTTGCTGCAAGAAGCAAAATATAAAGTTAGAAACACTTTAGCACTCTGGCAATGAACTAATGTTTGACTTATTTCTTGCATGCAAAGATTTTTATTCATAGCTGTATTTAAATGGCACCCAACTTTTTATCATTGCCACTCTCCAGGAACTGAGCATGAGAACAAGAAAGTAACTGAACCAGGACAACAGGGCACTGGAGAAATTCCCTTTCCTTCAGAAGACAAATCTGGGACTAAGGTAGAACCCAGCTGCTGCTGGAGGGATCAACCAAACCCGAAAGGCATTTACTCTGTTCCCCTGAGCACATCTGAAACGCAACCCCCCCCCGGGGAATGACAGAACAGGAGGTGAAGGAGCCAAGGTAACTTTTCTTGCTGGCAAAGCCACGCTTACTCCTCACCCTGACTCGGGGGCCCCAGTGCTGGCACCTCCCCTGGCCAACAGGCCAGTCCCCACGTCCTGAAACGACGCCTGCAGGCACCTGCACTTTGAGGGATGAAGGCAGCAGCAATTCCCACCCCCCACAGTCCTTCGGTTTATAACTTGTACTGATGACTGGATGCGAGCTGGCAGAAAATCTTGGAAGTGACTGGAGAAATTCATCAGCAACAGTGGTGACATGGAGCCTTGGAGGGCTCCAGCCCTGTACAGCAGAACAACAGGAAAGATCCCAAAGACTTCGCTGTAGCGGTGAGACATCCTTCCCTGTCATGAAAGACCCAGCTGTTAAGGCACTTCTCCCTCTCCCGAAAGCACCAGCTGAGAAATGAGAGCTCTGTATTCCATTAAGATGATAAAATTGAAAGGAAAGGTGTAACTCCATGAAGAGAAGGCAAGTAGATGTCATCCTCTATGGGACTGCGAGACAGAAACCCCAGACTACCGAGCGCGGCTCTGCTGGGAGGCAGAAGGTGATGGCCAGCGCGTCCAGGCGAAGCAGCTGGGAGCCCTCCCGGGGCAGCGGGGGGACGCTGCAGCCTGGGGTGACCAGGGGACACATTGGGGTCAGCTGGGAGGAGCGGGGGGACCAGAAGTGCCAGGGCAGGCAGGACACACGCCAATGCCTCGCGCCACCTTGGGTGCTACGCGGGGCAGCGGCTGCTCAGAGTTTGGGGCTGATGTAACCTCCGTGGTGATCGAGGAAAGTCTGTTCGGCAGAGTTGAAACATTTCACTGTGGGGCACAAAAGTCAGTGGGAAGCCCCCGAGACTCTTGCAGGTGCAGCGGGGAGCAGTGCTCTGGCCCGACGGCTCGCGGGGAAGGAGGCTCAGGTGGGATGTTGGCAGCAGAGGAGGTGTCTGCAGAAATCCTTCCCTCTGCCACTTCCCGGCGGGGAGCAGCCGCGGGCGCAGGACAAAGCCGCAGGCGCTGAGCTCGGAGAGGAGCTGCTCTGCGGAGGTGAAGCCTCAGGGGGGGTTCTGGCCACCGGCAGCAGCTCCAGGTCCCTCAGCAGCCTGGCGGCGTGTTCAGAGCCGCTGCCTCCAGGGACCATGACCAGGAACACAAGTACAGTTGCAGACATTTTTCAAATTTTTCACCTTCACTGAGACTGTTACATATTTTTCAATGCTTTTTTTTTTAACTGAAAAACGCAGCTCTTCCAATAGCTCAGGAGTTCTTCCTAAATTTCCCCTGAAGTTTCAGCTGCATTCATTAGTCTTCATTTTATCCCCTAAATTCATTTTGTTACTGTGCAATTTAGAGAGATGCTGTGCTCCACAGAGGCAATTGTACATCTGTGTGAAAGAGATTACTCCTGCAAAACCAGTTGTGCAAAGAATTTCACAAATTCCTTCCTCCCTTTACACACAGAGCCACTAATTATGCAAATGGTAAACGCAGAACTTCACAACAATTTAGGGTAGCAGAATAAATTTTGGTGCAAGGCTGAAAATCAGACACTGAAATCTGGAGGTTATTAAGTATTTTTACTTGCCTATTGCTTCTAAAATACCTTCTCAGATTAACTGTGTTTAATCTCAGCTGTAATAAGAGCACTTGGGGAACTCTGAAAACATTTTAAGCTTTTTTTTTTTTTTAATTAAAAGATTATGAGAGTTCAAGTATTTGTATAGACTCTTTCTCACATGTTTTGATCACAGATGAAAGCTAAAAAATACTTTACTCTTAAGAGTTTAGGGAAACACCAAATAAAATACTGAACCCATTTAACCATCGGAAGGATTACCCTGTTATGACCAGAACAGCAGCTTGATCTCTTTTAAACAGGCACTAACCAAGCATGAGCTCATGCCTCCCGAATCGCCAGCACCCAGCTCCACTCCCAGCTGCCCAGAACATCAGGAGGGGTCAGACCCCTCAGCAGTGACACGCTGGTGATTATAAAATACCTCTTAATGGCTGCAAGAGTGCAGCTTACCTCTGAGCAGATCAGTCTGATGTGAAATGTTATTTACTTCCTTTATGAAAATCAAAAGGAAGATCAAGCACAACGGATCCCAGCACCAGGGGATGTAAAAGCGCCACGTCTCCGTCACGCAGCTCCAGCGCTGCCAGGGGGGCCGTGGGACCCCCCGCACCCGCCTGCTCCGTGGGCCGGAGCAAAGAACGGCCTCAGCACCTGCACCCCCGACCTCCATCAGCAGGGTCCCAGCGCTGAGCCAAAACAGCCCTTTAAGGACGACGCACAAGAGCGTCTGGAGAGCCCTTCCACGGGGCTGGGGAAGAGAAATGGCTAGATGATGGATTGTCTCATGGAAAACCGCAGGGCCACCGCCCCAACCCCGCACAGGCACCCGCAGACACACGGCCGGGCCCGCGGCTGCCACAGACACGTGTGAAGCCCCCGGGGGGGCTCAGGGCTGTGCGTGGTTGGCTACCAGGAGTCAGGAGCACCCAAAGCTCTGTCCGGGAGATTAAAAGCTCTCTGGTGCCAGCTGTGAAGGACTGGGACAAAAATCCAGTGGAAAAATGCTTGGTGACTCCGTAGGATGCCCAGAAAAATGCTGTGTCCAAAGGGCACATTTCTTAAGAACAACTGGAGAGCAAAGAGGTGCTTATTAACGTGTCTCTGCAGCTCAGCTTCATCTTCCAGATCAAGTGTCTGGAGGAGCTGATGAGCCCTTGAGTTACTCTTTCCTAGTGATTACGGCAGCTGAAGAGCCCATTACTCTCGGAGCACACGGTGCAGCTCACTTAGAGCCTCTGCGAGGCTGATTAAAAAAAATTAGACAAAACCACCCTGCAAAGTTGCAGGTCTTGGAAAGCCCTGCCTTGAGGCGGCCCTGAGGCCTCTGACTGCAGCGTGGCAGGGCTGGTCGACACACAGACCCACCGACCCTCCCAGAGCTGAAAGCAGAGACTCTTTCCCCGCTGGAGGCTGAATCCAAAACGCCAGTTCATGTGTGAATCGGTCCATGCGCTGTTCCCTGAAATCCAGCACCCTTGTGACCCTCAGAACCTCACCTGGATTTAAGGAGAAATACCAGGTTTTGTGGCAGGTCCTTTGGAGGAGCCGCTGGAGGCTGCACACGAGGGGGGTCCTGAGCACTAATGCGAGCACGGGACAATTCAACACCGTAAGCACGTGCGCACTCCTCCTGCTGCCCTGCTCACCACTTGCCAGCTGCAGAGAACGGCCCGAGTTGTCCTAAAGTGAGTCAGTGGCCAACGATCACCTTATCTCCGGTTGGATCCATCCTCTGGGCTCCCCGCGGGACGGCCGGGGGCTGCCAGCACCCTCCCCGTGCCCCGCGGGACGGACGCCCGGTACCCGCAGCACCGGGGACTTCCCAGATGCACCTCGGTGACTCGTGTGCTGCACCTTCGCTTCTCTGTTAGATAAAACACCCGAGCCACCATCTAAAGCCATCCCTGTGCTCCCTGAGGCAAAGGGGAGAAGGTTTCCCAAGCCAGTCCTGGTAGAGGAGAGGTGACATTCTATGCACCTACAGTCTGCGAAGTTAAAAGGGCAACAAAAACACATGCAGAGCCAATCCCCCCGTATTTAATCACATCTAGGATTTATGTGCAGGGTGTGAGGCAGGATGTAAAATGCACAGCGAAATTTATGTTCTGTTCTGAAGAAAGTGCCACTGGTAGTAATACTGAAATACACCTGTCTGCAGGTCCAGAGCCCAGTTATCCTGCCCGGTTAGCATGAAGTATCCTCTGGGCCAACGACCGCAGAGGAAGTTTTGTTTCACAGTATATTAGCGGTTTGCAGGGACTTTATGGTTAAGCAAACAATAAGATGGTTAAATTATCCGATTCCAACATTTGACTCTTTAAATGTGGAAGTTAATAGGCTTGTGTTATCAGACTCGCTGTGGAGGAAAGCACGAACACCCATCTGGGCAAAAACCAACAGACAATCGATCCAACAGTTTTAAAGACTAGGTTTCCCTCCAAGGTAAAAGCAAATGATATTCTGTTCTGTACCGTAACACCTAAGGTTTATTAAACATGTTAGCTGAGCTGTTGAGTAACCTCTGATAATTAAAGCGAGGCTTGGCTATTCGTACCCAGAGGAGACATTGTCCTCCACCCAGCAAAACATTTCAGAAGCGTGGAGCCAGAGATAGGGCTCTCGTACAAAGGCCAGCCCTGGCTGGTAAACCCCTAATCTGTGGGAACAAAGCAGACAATAATGAGCATCAGCAAGTTTTAAAGGTTGTTATGACAGCAACACAAATGAATAGCTGCTTCTGCTGGCCTTCACCCCTCGGCTATCCATTTTCTGCTGCGCAGGCACCGAGGCTCCTCGGCACAGCGAGCCCGCTCCGCCCCGCGCGGACCCTCCTGCTCCGGCTCGCTGCCTCCGACCTACCTGTGGCCTTTAGTGCCGGCTGTTCACCTAGCAACAGTTTTAACCTTTTGGCATGGATTTTCCCTTGGTAATGCGATTCGGCCACCACTGCTGAGGTAAAGGACATGTTACATAGTGTGCAGCATTTGTTCTTATCCACTGAGTCACCGTCACTGCCCTGGGTGGAGACAAAAACACAGACAGAAAGAGGCGTATAAGCCCACCAAGCACGGTCACGGAGGAAGAAGAGAGAGGACGCCAGGTTGTTACGCCAAGGCCGTGGTTTCCAAGGGGTTTCCCTTCCTCATCTCCCCGAGCCGCGCTCCTGCCCGGTCCCAGCCCTGCTCAGCCTGGGGACGCCTTCGAGCCCTGGCACCCCTAGACCCTGTCTGCGCCCCGGGAGCTCGTCCCGCTGCTCCCTGCTCCCCCCGGGCACCTCCACCCCCCCCCGCCTTTAGCCTTTATTCCTCTTCTCTGGCTGAGGGAGCCACACGAACTCGGTGCCTTCCCTGCCATCAGACACGGCGCTTCCTCCTGCCACACTTCTGGAAGAGACCCCAAAGCAGCCGGGGGGGCAGACGGAGGCCGGGGGATCCCCCTCTGCAGGCGGGAGGAGCAAAGGGACTGGCAGGACTGGTCCGGATCCCCCAGGCAGGGGCACACTCCGGCCCCAGACACCCCCTGCCCCTCCGCCTCTGCTCTGCTGCTCGTGAGCCCCTGGGGGACACCCCCTTATCCCCCCCACCTTGTGCAGAGACTGAGGTGAAGATGGGCTGGAGGGGTGGGGAGCCCTGGCTGCACCCCCAGCACAGCCCCGCCGGGCAGGGGCTCTGCGAGGCGCCTGCCCACCCCGGGCTGCCCATCGGCCGGCCCTCGCCAAGGAACAAGGCTCCTACCTCGCGGCAGTAACTTACTGCCAGCTGCCGACAAGATAAACTGAAAGGCAAGAGCAGCCTCGTGGCACATACTAAAGCCCAGAAAAAACACTTGCTGAAGGGTTTGCACAGAAGGGGAAAAAAGTGAAACACCTCAAAGTCATGTTTACATTCTGCTCCTTTCCTAGAGATGGATTCTGAGCCCTTGAACCCTGCCAGATGAAAAAAGGCAACCATAAAAGTCTGAGGCACTTCACACACAATGGTAAAAACTCACCCCAGAAACTGATGCTGCCTAAAGCAAACTCAGGGCTGCGGCTCACTGCCCTGCTTGAGGATCTGCACAATGAAACACCTTGGTGCAATGAGGACACCCCCTTGCAAGATCCTCAGCCAAGAGGTGACTGGAAGTTTTAGGGAGCTGTGAATGTCACACTCCGTATTTCAGTACCAGCAAGAGGCTCTCATGGCTGCAGCAGCACAAGCAGGGGCCGTTCTTCGCAGTTCATAATTGCTGCACCTTTATTTTTACAAGTCAACCCTGATTTAATGAGAATATTGCCTCCAACCTTCATTATGGTTGTCCTTATGAGAATAAAAGCCAGCGTGCCTCTGCCAGCTGCGTGCCTGAGCTCAGAGCTCCTACTCCACCAGACCCCGCGGGTGGGAGTGGCTGGGGCTCCGGCTGCCTCTGCCCACTGCGGCTTCGCTGCCGGTGCCCCCCCCGTCCTGGACCTGCAGCAGCTCCCGGCACTGACCCCCCTCTCGCCCAGGCCCCGAGGAGGCACAGAGCATCCCGTTACCCCCCGACACCTCCCAGCACCGGGGCTGGAGGCACCACCACATCCCAGGCATCTGCTGGGCTTTCTCCCTGCTCCGACAGGGGTTTCGGCCCCCTGCACCAGGGCAGGCGGAGGCTGGGGGGCACAGGGGGACCCCGACCTGGCAGCCAGCAGCTGAGCAACCAGGGAGGGCCTGGGAGAACAGCCCCAGCGTCTGCCACCAAAACGTAACTGCTGCTGCCAGCAAGTGTTCACAAACGGCTTCCACAGACACAAGGGTAAGTGTACAAACAAGGAACAACCTGGGGGAAAAGCACGTCATCAGTCACAATTAATTATTTAATCCATTCCAAAAGGAAACGGGAATCACATTTAGGGCCATATATATTTTCCAAAGATCTCAGTATGTTCTGCTGGCCACTGAGCACAATTTATAAATGATCTCTTTCGAAAATACTCCTCTGTGCAGAGCAAGACCTTCCAAAGGCGGGAAGTGACCCGCTGTGTGCAGGCAGTTACCATCCTGGTCCCTTCCCTGGACAAGATGGTCAGACCTGGTCCCTGTGCCACAGCAAAACTCCCTCCAGCGATGAACCATCTGGAGACAGTCGTGCTGGGTTGGTTTTTTTCTTTTTTTTAAAGCGTGTTCCAATTGCTGGTATACAGTCAAAACAGAAAATTAGAAGCTGCCATCTTCATTTCACAACAACTTGACAAGCAGCTGTAAATGTGTTCTGCACTTCATCCCCGTCAAAGACCCCGGCGCCGCCTGGAGCTTCCTGACACATGGCACAGCCCGACACCGCGGCACTGCCCAGGCTCAGCGGGCCGGGGCCCGAGAGCCAGTTCCCGTCTGCAGATGTCACACTCCTGCTCTTCAACATCCCCACGTCAACAGCGAAACGGCTCCAGCACCAGCACCCAGCACCCGCCCACCTCGGGCTTCAGGCGGACACCCCCCGTCCTCCCCGGCCCCCCGGCCCCACCGTGACACTGGGGCACCCGCCGACACCCCCGGCCCCCCAGCAACGGGGCAGGAGAGGGGCTCTGCAACACCCGGAGAGCAACCCAGCCACAGTCAACACCAGACCCACTGTTTAAGGTCATTTTCTCCCCCAAAATAAGCACAATTAGGAAAAGGACTGAGTTTCATCCCTTTTTTGTTGCTGTTAACTATAAATCAACTTAAACCTTAGGGAGAAATCTCGAGAGGTGGTAAGCACTGCTCTGAGTGTAATTTGCACTTCTTTTAAATAGGTTTCTCTCAAGATATTTTATGTCTTCAAAGGGAAATCACTTGAAAGTTAAGAGCAGAGTGAAAAAGTCCCAGACTCCATTGATCATCCGTGGTGGTAACATACAAAGAGCCTCCAACAGAGCTCGTCTGAAAGCTGCTACACTTCGGTGTTTACACACCCGGGTCTCTTCCTCTACCTGTTCTGCTCTTCAGTGACATTTTTTCCTCTCCAACCTACTTTCACAGACAGACTGGTTAAAAAAAAAAAAAAACTAAACCAATTTAAACCCCATCAAACACCCCTCAGACACCCGATTTAGAGCCGAAGGTCCCATTCACGCAGATCCACCGCTCGCCGCGCAGCTGCTCCGAGTGCACCCGAGGCTCTGGGCGACCACCTCGAAGCCCGGTGGGGATTTGGCCGCCAGCCCGGCACCCGCCAGCCGGAGAGGGAGAGAGGTAACCCTGATTTCCCGGTCACCCGGGAGTTGCAGCCCCTGCACAGGACACACAGCCCTTGGCTCCCTGGCCACCAGCCGTTTCCGCACGCTCGTCGCCGCTCTGTGTTCGCCGGGTGCAGGAGGCGTTTGGGCTCAAGCACTGCTGAGCGTTCACCGAGGCTGCAGGGCCCCTCGGCAGAACCTGCCTCCCCTCCCTCCTCCGCCGCCCCCTGCACCAGCCGCTCGGGCGCGGGGCTGGATCCAGCCTGAAGGGTAATTATACCTTCTCATTTGTCAGCAGCTGTTTTACCTGTAACCAGATGGGCTGGGGGAACCCGATCCGGGTGTCCTTTGTCACCCGTTGAATGATGCCGCGTTGATGGGGTTTGGTGAAATCAGCTGGTGAATAACACGGGTGCGGGGCAGAGCGGCAGCGGCCCAGGGCACCCCGCACCCACCAGCACCCTCCTCCGTCCCCCTGCCGCCCGGGTCCCGCGCCCAGCTCGCTCCGAGCAGCAGCAGTGACCAGGCACAAACATCTCTGTTTAGTTTCCATAAAACCCACACAGGCAACTCTCTAACCCCATGCTGCATGAAGCCAGACAGTGTGCAAGGGATGTTTCTACCATTTGTTTCTGCGACCTTCTCCAGACAATCCCTTCCCGCTGACCCTCGTGGAGGCAGCGCTGGCAGGGGCCAACGGCCTCGCATAAACTGAAGCACAAACACAGCGTGGGCTGGGAGATAAAGCATCCGCTTCCCAGTGCTCATCCTCCCCCCGCTCCAGAGCTGTGCCGCGCCAGCCTCATTTATGGGGCTTCTTTTTGTAATATTATAAACTTCAAAGCAAGTCTCATACATCCAACAGAATTAACTTCAATTATTCAGATGCCTGTTAACAAGCTGCTAAAAGGCATAAGCCTCACACAGGACCAGGCAGTTGCAGTCCTTTGCTGGATGTTCCTTAAGCAGGAAAAGTGAGGGATTTTATTCCACAGATACAAATCTGCTGTCTTAATTTCCTAGGTTTTACTAAGAAGAAAAGATTATACAAACCCTTGAAATACAGCGATATAAACCACAGCACTCAAGGCACTGCAAAGTATCTTTTAAACTTGAGTTAATTTTCTGCACATGAAGAAGGTGTTGCTGCTAAAAGAGCTATTTTTTCTAACACTATGTGTGAAATTTAGACCACTTCCAATTTGGAGACTGTTTTTCTTGTGGCATAAGCAAAGAACCAGTTTGCAGCTCCCTACATCTGAAACGCTCGTGAAGCCTCGGAGCATCTCAGGACCTGTACGTTCTCAGAGAAAAGCCAGACCTAAGTCGGGTAAGGGGTGAGCTCGGCGAGGTCCACACGCATCCCACAGCCCCGCTCGGGCAGGGACAGACCCGCGGCAGCTCGGCGGGGACAGGGGTGGTTCCGGGCAGGGACCCCGTGGGTATTTAAAACCGTGCGGGGGGAGCCAGGGCAGGGGGGGACGAGGCGCAGGGCGAGCGTCAGAGAACAAATTCACATCTTCCATCAGGAATTTCTTCTCGGGAAACCAATACCTGACCTTTTGGTTGAAAACCTCCGATCGGTACAAAACAACAGTAAGAACGCTGGCCCTAAACCCAGACATTTCATCTTAGTTTCAGGGTAATCGCTGAAGATTTAAGTTACAGCCTGCAGTAAATTTTCCACCAGAAGCTGTAAAAACTGCGATTTCCTTGCTGATTGAGAACTGAAGCCTCCCAAGGCAGCCCCAGGCACCACTTGTGCCCAGCTCTCGGCTTAACCCTCTCCAGTGCCGCCGCGCAGGGCCTGCGCTGCCCTCAGCAACAAAGTCTAATACCCCACTATCTTCCCTCAAGCAATTTATTCTCGCTATTATGACCCTTCTCCTTTTTAAGAAGATGATGCTCGTTAAAGCAATTTACTATCTTTAGTAGAAATAGGCCTAGAAAGAATTTGAAGGCTCTTCTCCCATCCCCCAAAAAAGGTGTTTCATGGCACATCAGAAATTTTCATCAAGTCTGCCCTGATCATAAAAAGGGGGCTATTTTTTAAAGGTAATGAGAAAAGGCTGATTAAAACTGGTTCACCGGTCCTGAGACTTGAGGATATGACTCCTAATTTCAGCGGGACCCTGACACAGGCTGCAACCTTCTCAGATTACTTTCGGCTGAAATGTTAAGCGGAAATTTAAAATGAAAGGTCAACAATTGCTCAGTGCACCAAAGACGTGAGGGTTTTCCCCTCCCCCATAATCAAATTAAAACCATAATGAACAGCCCAAGAACAGAGCCGTTATCCAGTGCAAGACTAATGGTACAAGCAGTGCAAGACTAATTGTGTAATTGTATAAATCTGTAACGTAGGAAAGGGTAAGGGGCGTTTTGGGAATGCAGAGTATTTTTATAGTCCTCGAGCGGCAGCAAACTCCAGCCCTGCCCTCGCGGAAGGGTCGGGAGGCAGATGCTCGCCCCAAGTGTCCACAGCTGCAGCAGCTTCTCCTTCCTCCTGCCACGAGGGAGGGGACAAGGTGTTTAGTTTTGTGGGCACAAGGACACAAACCGCAGTGGTAGAACAGTGCACTCTGATTTAAAAAAGCACAGTGCAGGTGCTTCCCCGCAGAAATTGAGTCGGTTCTCGGGGGCTGTTTCCAGCGTTCGTGGTCTCCGCTGCTGAGGTGCTGTGCTGGGCACCTGAACGAGGCCAGGTCTGGGGGCAGTGATGGTCTCATACTCATTACATGTCCAAAATACTACTGTTCTCTTTAAATGCGAAGGCTTGGATAATACCTGAGCAGCAACAGGCCTACATTGAGCCGTAAACATTGGCAGATCTTCCCTGCTATATTTTTATAAATAATTTTAGTATTTAGGTCTTGCCAAGCCTATCACTCACCCAGTCCACAAGGACTTGTTAATTCAGCTCTGACTAAGGGCTGCCCTTGGCAGAATCGAGGACCAGCAAACACGGGATTACACGACTTCCCGCTTTGCCTTTCACAGAAGAAATGGGAAGGAGTTCAGCTCTGAATGGTTTGAGGTCTGTTTGGTTTTCTGTCCACCACATCCCCGTGCTAAGGTGCGCATGCAGCCACGTGGTTCCTGTTATGTGTAACAAGGCTCAGCAGAGGCCCTCGTTCCAAGTCCAGCTGTGCACGTCCACCGCACCTTTCACACTCTGTAATCAACAACCGAACCAGAACACTGTGAGGTTCTGTGAAGGGGGAGACTGCATCTGCAATTACTACATAAAAGTCCCACTGAAATTTTAATTGCTGTGTGAAGGAGCTTTCAGATTCCTTTGGTAAAACTTGCATGCTTCTCCCTTTAATTAGAAGATATTTCACTAAATATTGATAGCACTATGCCACAGTCACACTCCCATAGCTATGGAATAGTTTGGATGCTATCTGGTGGGAACCTCATCAACAGCTCTCGCACCAGCCCCAGAATATGGGAGCGAGCTGAATGAATAATTCACTGTGAATCAGTCCCTTATAAATTTAGTCTCCTTTTATTGCCTGACAAATGGCTGTGAGCTGGCCCAATTTCCACACGTTCATTTATTTGAACGTAACTGAGGAATTCAACTGCCGTTTTTTAAAACTGCAGGCTGACCACAAATCTTCCAGACCCAGCACTCCACTTTCATCAACTCCCAGTCAAAAATGGGTCAGAAGAGGCCCCGGAGGTGACGCAGCTCTCCCGCGACCTCTCCGCTCACCCTGGGGGTTCTCAGGGCACCGCCACAACGGGTGTAGGTACAACAGCCCCACTCGTGCCCTGCTGTGCCGGGTGTAGGTCTGTGCCGGGTGTAGGTACAACAGCCCCACTCGTGCCCTGCTGTGCCGGGTGTAGGTACAACAGCCCCACTCGTGCCCTGCTGTGCCGGGTGTAGGTACAACAGCCCCATTCGTGCCCTGCTGTGCCGGGTGTAGGTACAACAGCCCCACTCGTGCCCTGCTGTGCCGGCTGTACTCATACCAGCCCCACCGCCGCTGCAGAGCCGCCCTCGCCATGACCCGACCGCCCGTAGGCAGGAGCCCCGGCAGCCCCTGTCCTGCCTCACCTCACAAAGGAGCTCACCCGCCAGAAACAAACCATTGCACTTAATCTGGGTAAATGCTGGATATTCGCTATCAGCGTATTCTTTTCACATTCAAATAACTAAGAATGCAATTACTGCTGCTGATGCACATCGTATTTCTTGTACAGTTTATTGACAATTATCTCCAGTTACTTAGTATTTCAGCTAATCTAAACATTACCTCTGGGTACCTGATCATCTGCGGCTGAAACAGAAAAAATGTTGTAGCACAGAGTCAATGATTCACAAAGCAGCTGAATGAACAGGGACTTAAGTTATACCCACGTTTTCTGACCGGAGCTTTTTAGCTGGACAGCCTCCATCTATGGGGTGAAGCATATAATAGAGGCGAACTTTGCTGGCATGTTTCCGACTCTGAAAAAAAAAAAAAGAAAAAGAAAAAGGAAGAAAAAGTTACAAAAAGCTCGAGACTCTATTACTGCACATACAAAACCAATCTGCAATAAGATTTCACATCCCCTTGATACACATATCCAGTATGGGAGGAGAAAATGGGGAAAGACCTGGGTGAGGAACATTTGAATTTCCTGGAGGTTTCAGAGAGCTCCCCACCGAGCTGAAATGACGTGTGGAACGATTATGACACCTGCCATTAGCAGGAGCAATGGCCCACCCTCACCGCCCTCCGCCGCGTCCTGCTGCCTGCAGCCCCTTGAAGCTGCAGAGGGAATAAAGGCAGCGAGAGAAGAGCAACATTTGTTATTAGAACATTTCCATAGCGGAGAGATGGAAAAGATCAGGGTTATTTAGCTTCAGGCAGAGACAGCATGGCACCATGAGGGATCAGACACACACACACAAACCCATACACAGCTCCTACGCTTCCAGGAGAATAAAAGAGGTAAGGGGTATAAAACCTCACTTTCTAGGAAATGAGCCTGCTACAGGTTTGAAAGACATTTCTCCTACAGGTAAATCAGCAGATAATTTTGCACGATGACATTTAACGTACACGCAGAGGGACAGGACTGTGTGGGTCCTGGGCCTGAGCCCCTTCTCCTCTCCCAAGTACTTCTAAGGGGGGTTGAACAGTAAAACCTCCCAGACGACCAGGAAACCGGAGGGTTTGTGCTCCGGGTTAAGCGGCACCGGTGGGGGAAGCCCCGTCTCGAGGCGGCCTGTGCTGCTGCAGAAACCGGCCGCAGGAGCCCGGCACCGCGTGAGGCGATTCCGCTCCCCGAGCCCTGCCCGGCGTCGCCCCGAGCCCCACGGGGGGGACGGACATCGGCACCTCCAGCACCGGGCGGGCACCGGCCCCAAACCGCGTGTTCAGAGCGAACCCCGCGAGCGGCCCCGCCGAGCCCGTCGCGCTCCCAGGGACGGCTCTGAGCGGGCACGCGCCTCCCAAACGCTGTCTGTACCCCAGGGAAGTTTCCAGGAGATCTGTGGTTTTGCAGAGGGATGGGGAGGAGCTGAAGGACGCCTGGAGGAGGCTCTTCCCGGGAGGTTTCACACCGCCTTCGCCATGACCAGGGCTCACCAGCACATGAGGATAAGGAGAGATGTCCCGGTCACGCCAGCAGCCACAGACGAAGCAATCCTTGTGATGTGCAAAATGTAAAGATTTAAAACCTCCTGCAGCAGGAGCACAGACAGAAACCTTCGAGACGGGAACCCACAGCCAGGTCCTGTCTTCCAGCAGAGGTGAGGGGGGGAAAGGCTGGAACCACTGCCTGCCCGCACCCAGAGCCCAGACAGCACGGCCGCTATCATCACGCAAACGCTTTCTCTGAATCTCCATTTCTGATTGCCTCACAGAGCAACGGCACCATAATGTGAAAATTTCAGATCACAGATTTGCAATTTTAGACGATTAAATCATCATTAGCGTGTTTGTCGTGGTTTGAGCCCCGACACACACACACGAACCCAACACAATGTTCTGGAACGTTCTTTTTCCTGCCGTGTCAACTCAGAGCTGAATTTGCAGAGAGCTATGTTTATGTGCATAAATGTGACAATGCAAAAAATTTTTTTATTGGAGCAAATCAGTCAAGATAAATAATGTCAAATATCTTTCCCTAACCCCTCTTTCCGCGTGCATTTAGGAAACGTGACCTGTTGTAGTCAGAGCTAAGCACAGGGACCCTGAGAGCTTCAGCCATCGGCGATCAGCAGCCCAGGCAGCCTCGGCCTAATAAAGAAACGACAGAATAACTGTGTGAAACGCGGCCGGGTGCGCGAAGCCGGTCTCGGGGTGGGGCAGCTCCTACTTTCTGCCCGGAGGGGTGCTGGGCAGGTTTCTCCCGGTGCAGGTTTGCACACCAGGAGGGGTGGCAGGTGACGGCCACCCCCTCGGCACGGGGCACCATGGTCCCTCGCAGCGCACGCTACAGGGGGGAGTCAAATGCGCCGTCAAGGTGACGCGGCCAGAGATTTTCAGCTGAATTCTTTCTCTCAGTGAACACTGTCAGCCCTCGGAGCAGCCAGCCTGCCTCACAGCACCCTCCCAGAGTCACGAGGCTCTTCCCTCGGGTGACTGAACCCAGCCCTTCACGATGTCTACACGCAGCCACAGCCTGCTGAATGTAGACGTTAAAAAGATTGCGGGATTTTTGTCAGTTTTTTTTGTAAGCTGAAAAGGCAAAATTTTAACAGTAATAATTTTTAGTGTTCTGTCCATGGCACTCAGCTGTGCCATAAATGATGTCCAGATGTCAACACTAAAAGGCAGAAAAGCTTCAGCATTCTGTAGAACACCTCTCACCTTTATTTATGCATTTGTTTGGATTTATGAATGCTAAGGTAAAGAAATAACTTATGTTTGGCATAATTTAAAACTACACAGCTCCTTATGCAGCCTTATTATCCTATGGTTATAAAAGCAGAGCTTAAAATCATCCCTGGCCTTTGCAAGTAGGTAGTGAGCATCTCATTCCCTCTCGGGGAGCGGAGGTAGCGCAGCCCATTTGTCACCCATTCTATCTCTGGTATTTTCTACATTTACATGTGTATTTATCATCCTAACACCGCGGCAGGAGCGAAGTGATTATTCTTAGCGTGCTGCTCGCAAGCAGCCCCACGGGTTATCTCTTCCCCTCCACGAGGCAACTTGCGATCTGCAGCTCCGAGGAGCAGGAAGGGCAGATGCCGGGGGGTGGCACAGCCCCCCCACCCCAGGCCCCCCACCCTCTTGGGGGGGCCACGTGCCCGCGGAGCTGTGGAGGACACAGGAGGAGGCCGAGCAGAGCGGGGACATGGCAGCGAGCGTGGCCGGAGCATCGTGGGCAGCCACCACAGCCCCGCCACGGCAGCCCCGCGGGGAACAGGGGCCCAAGAACACGCAGAGGAGCCAGGAAACGGGCGGGGAGTGCCATCAGGGCACATCAGCTCCCATTCTGATCTGTCTGACCACAGGGACGAGCCTTCGGAAAGACAAAACCTGGACAAGAGCTGTAAACCCAGGGTCTGGAGCAAGAACGCTGCCTTCGGAGGTACCTGCCTCCCATCAACAGCTGCCACAGTTCATCCTAGGGTGCACTAAGAGAGTATTCCTGTGCCTCGGAATATTTCTTTTGTAGCTTTACAAAGTGTTAGGCCAAAGGCATTTTCACTTAAATTCTCCGTCTCTGGTGTCTGGAAACAGCTCTTTTAGAAGGCAAGAAGTCTAACTTAATACTATATGCTTCAAAAACAACCCTCTCTATGCAGGGAGTGGGGGGGAAGCTTAAAGAGCCTGTTTTCACATAGCAACTGCAGACTTCTGCATTGCAAGCTCACGTGCTATTGTGAGAAGGCTCATCAATAAAAGGAAATAAAATCATTTCTATCTATATCAGATCTATTTTGATACAGAGCATTGTGGCAGAGGCAGCAGAGTCCCAGCAATCCAACCCTAAAAGGGCAACGCAGAGCTAAATTGTGCTATGAAATGCAATTTGGTTTTGCATAAATCAAGTTTTGCAGCACACTTCTGCCCAGAGCGAGCAGCAGCGCGGCGAGAGCAGACAATGACATCTCTGTGGGAACAGCAGCAGCTGCCAGGACCCCGGGAGCCACGGACGAGCTGGTTTCAGATGCAGCGGCCCTGCTCGCCCTGGCTTGCCGGGGGTTTGTCACCGCTGCATTAACTTAACAGCTTCTCTGTAAATTTACCAACAGCAGCGGTGTCCCTGGCGAGGACTGAGTCACATCTCCCTTTACAAGGCCAGAAGTCCCCAGCAGAGGCTTTAAGCCGGGCTTTGCTGGGCTGCACAGGCACTCTGAGGGGGCTGCAGGTGCCGGGGGGCTGCGGGGAGCCCTCCCGTCAGCCTGCGCTGGCCCCGCGCTCTGCTCCCACTTTGCACCACTGATTTAAGCTGACCTGACAGTCCAAAGCACTGCACCATCTTGCGAGGGACTTCTTCCCGTACCCCCAACCACCTTGCCAGGTTCAAATCAACCGTTTCTGCTGCTTTCCTCACGCTGCGCTTGCATCCGATCGAATTTCTCTATTCCCCACAGCTCCCTTTGTCATCTGCTTGTTCACTCCTCTGCTGGCAGCATCGTGTTTTGGTTCAGTCTGCCCTTCCTCTCCTGCTCCCCCTCCTCCCTGCCCTGTTCTCCAGCCAAAGACCAGAGACCCACCGCCCCGGGGACCCACCGCCCCGGAGACACACAGGGGGAGGCAAAGGAGGCACCTGTAATGGCAGCCACAGGGGCTGCAGCTTCTCTTAATTTGCATTAAATTCATTTTCAGAAGCCTGAACCCTGGTTGGATTTTAATCCTTTTAGTTTGTACCGTGTTGATTTTTTCTTGTATGCTGGCAGTTTCTTAATTAAACTGCCATGAAACATGCAGTCATATGATTCCACCAACTTTATTATCTGTATTGGCCCTACCTGTAATCTCATCAAAAGAGATAAAGTTATTTTGGCTGGGCCCAGCTCTCTAAGCCTCATGCAGAACAGCAATTACACCGTCCTCTGAGCTACATACTCCTGTCCCTTTGCAGAGGCCGCTCTGCCAGGGGGCTCCGCTCCCCCCGCCGGTGCCGTGCCTGGCTCCGTGCTCACCTCTCTCCTAGAAACTTCCTCCACTTTCCAAGTCCCGTGGAGGATCAGCCGCGATGACGCAGAGCGCGTGGCCAACTCTTTTCAAGCACTTGGTTGCAAATTACTGGACCTGCTGACTCAAAACCCAACACTTTAGATTTCATAATCGCTGCCTAACAAACTTTCAAATTTCTACTGGAACAGAACCAATTTATTCCTCATTCTGTGATATAACAACATCCTCTGCTTTTTTTTTAAATAGAGGACAGAAGTATTTTCAGCAAACGCCTTCCCTTTTTTGCCTCTTCTACCCACACGACCAGCAAACACTATTGTTGAGATCCCCGTTGTTCGCCACAGAGACAAACTCCCGTCTGTTA